AAAAATAACAACGAAATATTCCAAGCACAAAATTATAACACCAAATACTTTTTATCACAAATAAAACGATGCTATCCCATGAAGCTTTGCGCTCTGAAACGTAAACTAGTCACCAGGGCGTCCAGTTGAAGCGCGAACTATCTAAACACATTGATACTAAAAACATAACCACTGAGTATTTTAGCAAATACAAAACAAGTTTAACTCCAAAGATCGATAACAATATATATCGATGTAGATCGATATCAATCTTTGGAGTTACACTTGTTTTGTATTTTGCTATAAAAAACAGAGTAAAAACACATAATAGCAGCAATAGGATTCTATATTCTATATAACCTCCTATACGAATATCAAAAATTCCTATAGGAAAATTCCTATAGAAATTCCTATAGGAATTTCCTATAGGAAATTCCTATAGGAAATTCCTATAGGAAATTCCTATAGGAAATTCCTATAGGAATTCCTATAGGAAATTCCTATAGGAAATTCCTATAGGAAATTTCTATAGGAAATTTCTATAGGAATTCCTATAGGAAATTCCTATAGGAATTCAGTTCCTATAGGAAATTCCTATAGGAAATCTATTCCTATAGGAATTCCTATAGGAAATTCCTATAGGAAATCTATTCCTATAGGATCCTATAGGAATTCCTATAGGAAATTCCTATAGGAATTCTATTCCTATAGGATCCTATAGGAATTCCTATAGGAAATGGCATTTCCTATAGGAATTCCTATAGGATCCTATAGAATTTTTTCGTAAGGGAGGTTTCTAAAGAACGAAGGAACATCATGTATTTAAAATCATTCGTCTTCTGAGCTTGATTGGCATATATTATAATAATTCAGTTTGATGTTGTAATTCATGTACTAAGGTTGTTTGGCATGTAATATTATGATAAGGTTTCTAAAGAACGACGCAACATCATGTATTTAAAATCATTCGTGTTCTGAGCTTGATTGGCATATATATTATAATAATTCAGTTTGGTGTTATAATTCATGTACTAAGGTTGTTTGGCATGTGAAATCATGATAAGGTTTCTAAAGAACGACGCAACATCATGCATTTAAAATCATTCGTGTTCTGAGCTTCAGTTTGATGTTATAATTCATGTAGGCTACTAAGGTTGTTTGGCATGTAATATCATGATAAGGTTTCTAAAGAACGACGAAACATCATGTATTTAAAATCATTCGTGTTCTGAGCTTGATTGGCATATATATTATAATAATTCAGTTTGATGTTATAATTCATGCACTAAGGTTGTTTGGCATGTAATATTATGATAAGGTTTCTAAAGAACGACGGAACATCTTGTATTTAAAATCATTCGTGTTCTGAGCTTCAGTTTGATGTTATAATTCATGTAGGCTACTAAGGTTGTTTGGCATGTAATATCATGATAAGGTTTCTAAAGAACGACGAAACATCATGTATTTAAAATCATTCGTGTTCTGAGCTTGATTGGCATATATATTATAATAATTCAGTTTGATGTTATAATTCATGCACTAAGGTTGTTTGGCATGTAATACCATGATAAGGTTTCTAAAGAACGACGGAACATCTTGTATTTAAAATCATTCGTGTTCTGAGCTTCATTGGAATATATATTATAATAATTCAGTTTGATGTTATAAATCATGTACTATAGGTTGTTTGGCATGTAATATCATGATAAGGTTTCTAAAGAACGACGCAACATCATGTATTTAAAACCATTCGTGTTCTGAGCTTGATTGGCATATATTATAATAATGCAGTTTGATGTTATAATTCATGCACTAAGGTTGTTTGGCATGTAATATTATAAAGTTTCTAAAGAACGACGGAACATCATGTATTTAAAATCATTCGTGTTCTGAGCTTCATTGGAATATATATTATAATAATTCAGTTTGAAGTTATAATTCATGTACTAAGGTTGTTTGGCATGTATATAATATTATGATAAGGTTTCTAAAGAACGACGCAACATCATGTATTTAAAATCATTCGTGTTCTTAGTTTGATTGGCATATATATTATAATAATTCAGTTTGATGTTATAATTCATGACTAAGGTTGTTTGGCATGTAATATCATGATAAGGTTTGTAAAGAACGACGCAACATCATGTATTTAAAATCATTCGTGTTCTGAGCTACATTGGAATATATATTATAATAACTCAGTTTGATGTTATAATTCATGTACTAAGGTAATTGTTTGGCATGTAAAATTATGTTTTTAAAGACGAAGATTATTGTAAAGAACAAGGGAATATAGAACATATACTTGTTTCTTTGGCGTCACTTTTTGCCATCGGTAAAATAATTGTCGGACCGCGAAAACGTTTGTCCGATGGATCGGATCGATCGATCGGACCATTCGACATTCACACATCGCACAATGAACTTGCAGTGCAACCCGAGACACTCACGCAGTGATCTGCGCAGCAGGCGTTTATTTGCTTTTGGGCAGCCATCGGTAAAATATTGTCCGACGGTAAACAAGATTGTCCGGTGGATCCATCCGTACCGTCTGTAAGACTGCTTTGTCGATCGGATACCGATCGTCAGTATTGGACATTTATGAAATGGCCAAGGCCATGAAGGCAACTCTTTACCATGTTGCGTCATCTGATGAGAAACCACAACATCATCTCTGCCCTGATGGAGAGGACAGAGGACAGTTGGTGTGAGTACAAGAGAGATTAAGAGTCCTACAAGCACAATAATGGCATTCCAGGGTGCATTGTTATATTAATTGAACCAATATTTGCTGACCTAAGTAAGCCCGACCTGTTGCGGAAGTGTACGCATGGCTTGACGCAGAATGTTAACGAATGCTTGAACAGTATGACCTGGGAGCAAGAAACTGTAGCCCTGGCTACTTGTTTGGCTGTCCTCAAGTTAAATGATGGAGATCTATCCTTTCTGAAAGTATTTGAGGACTTGGACATTACTCCAGGTGTCTTCACTTGTAAAGGTGCCCAAGATTGCGACACCACCCGAATCATATTAAACTGTGGGCCAAAAAGTGCAAAGATAACGTCAAGATCAGAAAAGCGTTGAGACAACTCAGAAACAGCTATATAGACTCTACTGAGGCAAATGAAGGCATAATATATGAAGCAGGTAGCATCCGAACCGTTTTAGGCAAACGAACATGAAAGGAAACTTTAACATTACATTTTCCTCATTCGGTGATTTTGCAATCACGAGTAATCTTTGTGACACCTATCTTTTTTTAATATTTGGGGTAGAAGGTTGAGACTTGGTATACTTATTGTATATACCTTTAGCTAGGACCCGGCAATCGTCAAATGTCATGATTTTTTATTATTAGTGATTTCTGGCATATTTTCCTACTAATTAGCAATTAAAAATTCAAATTACCGAGCTATTACAAGAAATTACGAAATATCACTAAAATACATATTGAAATGTCAGAATCGCAGAGCATAATTTGGCCGGTGTACTAATTAAAGCAGAAACGCTTTGGCTTCCAAACACCAATTTTCATGTACTTCATTTATAGATAACTAATGGCAAGCATATCAAGTACCAGTTACATATCAGATGAAGGAGATGGGTTGTGGTTGGCATTTGTCTTGCCAAAGTTCTTACATCAGTTTGAAGAAATGTCGTTGCAACTGAACTACAAAAATGGTATAATCGTTTGTGTCAACCGCCTGATGAAACTGACAAGCACGTTTTCGCAAAGTATAAGAAGAAACTACCTCCAACGAAATTGCAACTAAAATATAAGAACATCAACAACAACAAAGTCCAAAAAGCATATAAACTTTACGTAGAACATCGTCCGGAAAAGAATTTCTTTTGAGAAAGTGAATAGGAACTAAACGTTTTGCTGCATTTATGGTTCTGGAGTTGATATGCATGACTCTTCCACTTCAGGTAATTTGTAATCAAAAGTCATAGCAATTTACAATAGCGTGTTTTACAAATTGAAGTCTCACAGGTGTCATTGTCAAATCACTGCAATACACGATTAATTTAGAATCCTGTATAAACATTTATACGACAAGATCCAAACTGCACACAAAAATCACGCCACTGATCCACATTGTAATAAGCTTCCTTAGCCAATGAGGTGGCAAGTACAGGCTGTACAGCAATTGAATGCCAGAAGAAATCTCCAACAGAACAACCATATTTAACAATCATTTCACATTGAATGTGCTGAATACTGGTAAACGGTTAATAAAGAGATGAATAATTAAACACAAACGAACGCGGTTATTGTGTTTATATATTAGATCCTCAACCGAAGTAACGAAATGACCATCGTCATAATTGCAGAACTCTATCCAGGGACCACAGACGAGACCTGCAGTAATCGATTTTTTTACGGGCAAACCTAATACTAACTTACGAAATACCAGTACAAAACAAATTATTACAAAGCGTCAGAATAAACAGTACAGAATAGTATATAATAAGCGTGTGATTTCTGATAATTATTTTAACACAATCCCTTATGGATTCTAGCTGTAATAATTACCTCACTTAATTAACTTAATTAAATGCAGTAAACGATCGAACACAATGAATAAAGTTGAACCGTCACATAATGACCAGCTTCAAAATTAGCGATTCTAATGACAGTAATTTTCTTTATATAAGGAGGACACAATTTCAAGTTTATCACACTTGGTCAAAATGGAGAGAGTCAGTGGACAAGAACAGTGCGTTCGAAACAAAGAAAATATCGCAAACGAAAAAGGGAGCAATTTGAATATTTTAAAAAAATGGAAAAGTACTTCAAAGAAAATAACTATCGTTTCAAAACATTGTACACCAACACAGCCAAGAAGAAGTTGATGAGATAATTGAAAGCCTTGGTTTTTGAGGCAAGAAATGATCTGACGAAACTGGCCGATGAACAGGCTGTTCAAGATAAGAAACGTGATAAACTGAATTGAAACTATTGTAAAAGGACCATTGACCTTTGTTATGTGAACCTTTTAACTTTGTTTGGTTATTAAGGTTAGGATGCGCACGCACCTGTGGACAATGAACAATGCACCTTGTCTTATGTAAATAGATATCGATACGCACATGCATTCGAGAGAATTGGAACATAGCACGCACTGGGGAAACATTAAAAGATATTAAGAAAGATATACATATTGAAATTTTACTTGTTGTGGATCTAATCAAGCTTTCCCCCTAACGGCCTCGACGATCCCGCGGGTTGCTATATAATAACAACGAATAAAGAAGTCGTTTTAAACTATACTGACCGATGAACCATTAATATGTTTACTTAGTGAGTCCATAATAACGAGATCAGCCTCCCACTGTGCATCAAAGTCACCCACTAAAACCCTATTGCGTTTAAAATGGAACCGTACGGGCTAGTGTAATGTTTACGTGTCTTGCTTTTTTAATTAACCATGACCGTATTCTATTCCGCAATATTTGATGCTTTCCTTCCTCTTTTACAACA